AATGGCAGGTAAGAGTGCCCACGGCTCTTGCAGAGGGCTGGAGTTCACTTCTGTGATGCCTAATCTTGGTTGTTGGTAATGTCTGGAATCGACTAAAACCCAAGCTGCTGGGTAAGCCTTTGAGGGATTTTCTTTATAGCTTTGGTTGTGAGCCTTGCCTTTAACGGCTGAGCCATCTCTCCAGCCCTGTGAGGGATTTTCTTAATCAGATTATTTGAAGCAGGAGGATAGTTCTTAACTCTGGGTCCCACCTTGCGATGGCAGCCCAGATAGCAGGACACAGAAGAAGGAAACTTTGCTTTCTTGCCTCCTTGCCCCACTCTCACCAGCTTCTATCCTGCTGTGGGACCAGTGGTCAGGACTCGCTAAAAACCAGCAGCTCTCCAGGAATCCTCTAGGTCTTAGTGCCAGGGAGGACCATGGAGACATCCAGCTGTGTGAACTGAACAGTGACCAGACTGGATGCTTGGCCTTTCCATCATAACACTGTTGCCGTTGAACTACCTGCGCCATGTCTTATAAGCCAGTCTAACACACACACTCACGCACACACACATACACATGTATGCATGTACACACACACACACACACACACACACACACACACACAGTTCTGTTCACTTAGAGAATGATGACCAGTATAGATTGCCAGAACTTACATTGAACAGTTCACAGTAGTTTGAAAATCCAGTGCTGTGGGATCTGCCTTCTTCTTCTGGCTTCTTAAGGCACTGCACTTGTGTGCACAAACCCACATTTAAATGCACACACACACTACTACTGCTACACGGTAAAGAATTGATATCCATACCAGTTTTTCGTAGTTGACAACAGTTTCCACAACTACAACACAATTTCACTACCAGAAAATTGACACAGATAGACTGTCAACCTTATCCAGGTTTCATAGTTCTTATTGTGTTTATAGATGCATGTTTTCTTCATTAATTGACAGATGGGCTCTGCCATACTAGGAATTGAACCTAACATGCTAGGAAAGTCCTCCTAAATACTGAGATGTATTCCCAGTCTTCTGTTTACTGTTGACTTTGAGACAGTCTAGGTTGCCCAGAGTAGCCTTGAACCTAATCTGCAATACAGGTATGACTTGAACTTGTAATTCTTTGGCCTCCACCTCCTGTGTAGTTGAGATTACAGGCCTGTGCCACCCAACCTGAAACTTTATTATATGGAGAGCTTCACGTGGGTCTATGTGAGATACAACACACAAAAGTTTTAATTTTCCCTCCCAGCATGATTCTCTTGATAGCCACCTATAGCAATAGTCTAGGCCAGTTTTCAAACACAGAGCCCAAAGTCAGGGTGATCAGACTGCCTGGAAAAGGATTTCTTTGAAACCGTGGCGACTGACACTTCCAGGAAGCAGTCGGCAAACGCGAACTCAGTTCACCACGTGTTATGGAAGCCCTGAGTCCAGACATGTCAAGGTCGTGGGGGTCACAGGTACACAGATTGAAAGGATTAACAAGGACCCTCTCCTAGACTAGGAGCATATGACACCTAGCAATACATGGGAGCTCAAGACGGTTTCAGTGTTGCAGTGTGTCTACAGAGTCTATAGACTCATCCAGGTTCTCTCCTCTGTCCTGGAATGCAAAGTTAAAGAAGATGCACTTGGCAGTGGACTCGGGTTGGATTGCTTGACCTCACTTCATTAATTTTCACCCTGTGGAGAAATAAAAACAAACGAGCAAGCAAGCACACAAACAAATCCCCTCCTGTCTTCTGGTTGAAGGAAATAATCAGAAAGTGGGTGGGCACAGACTTAGCTATGCCTCGGAGAGATTGCATTTATCCAGGGCTACTTCTCATTCTGTCTGCCCAGCAGAAGGAATAGCTGACTCCTAGAAGATCTTGAGAGGTGCTGCCCAGGTTATAGTCCACTCAGAGCTTGGCTGACCGAGCATGGTCTGGCGGAGACGATGCTGTCTTTATTTCGCATGGCATGGTAAGGCCTCCCTGGGATGAACGCTGTTTCCTGAAGAATCTCTCTGTTGGTGTCTCTGTAAGGCATCTCAGAACAAAGGTCAGGGAGAAAAGTGCTTACTACGAGGAGCCGGCTTTAGATCCCCAGCACCCACATAAAGCTAGACAGAGTAGGGCCCATCTGTAACACCAGCATTCCTTCAAAGAGATAAGAGGTCAAATCGGGAGAATTTCAGGAAACGTGTGGGCTAGGCAGCCTGGTGGATCAGGGAACAGGAAACTCTGTTTCCACAAGACAGACATTGAGAACTGACAGTCAAGGTCCTCTCACCTCCACACATGCACTGTGATGCGAATGCCTGTGTGTACATATTCAAGCACACACACACAAGCACACATATGCAAGCACTCAGAAACACATATACACATGCATAATACATACAACACAAACAGACAAAAGCACACACAAATATATAACAAGACCATGAGCAGATCTGTCAGCAGCCTTTCTTGAGGCAGCCTTGTTCCTACTGCACAGTGAGGTGGATTGCTCTAGGGCAGACACCAAAAAAGGGTGGGAAAAGACAGACCCAGGAAGAGCATGGTAATAGCATTTTACTTGAGCTTCTTTGGGATAAGAAGGCTGGAGTCATACTTATCTCTAAATGGGACAGCTCTGTCATCCTCTCCAAGGTTCAGGGAAGAGGGGACAGAAAGAATGTCAGAGCCAGAAACTGAGAAATGTGCAGCAAAAAGATGTTTTCTGGACATGACGTAGCCATTGCTTTCATGTGATCACCTTGATGGGGGAGTGTCATATATCAATCTGTTGATTTCATTGGTTAAGCAATAAAGAAACTGCTTGGCCCTCATAGGTTAAAACATAGGTGGGTGGAGTAAACAGAACAGGATGCTGGGAGAAAGAAGCTGAGTCAGGGAGTCACCATGATTCTCCCACTCCAGACAGACTCAGGTTAAAATCATTCCTGGTAAGCCAGCTGGTGGGCTACAGCAGATTATTAGAAATGGGCTAGTCCAGGTGCTAGAGCTAGCCTAGAAGAGGCTAAATAGAAATGGGCCAAGCGGTGTTTAAAAGAATACAGTTTCCGTGTAATTATTTTGGGTAAAGCTAGCCGTGGGGGCGGCCGGGTGCCGGGGACGCAGCCCCGCCGCTCCTAATACTACATCACCTGAATAAGAGCTGCAGGAGATCAGACCTGTCAATATTCACCAAGTGTGTGGGAGGGGCCTCGAGGTCCTGCCCTTCCCTACTGGACTAATGGAAGCGAATGGTTGCCCAGGGAGTTGCTGTCATCATGTGCGTTAGTGTAGTCACTGACAGCTTGCGCCTGCTCCAGGAAATAACCTTCTACCCATGCCCATGCAAGCAACTCTAAATAGACTGAGTGTTCCACACACAGAGGAAGACCCAGAAGTAGGAGGGGCTCTAGTTGGGAAGAGGAAGGGCTTCAGTGGGAGGAGGCTAAGATGACTGAAATTCATTATGCACATGTATGAAACCACCAAAGAATAAAATAAGGAAGAACAGCAGCTGCCACCCACAAGAGTAGGCCAAGGTGGCTGGGAAGCATGCAAGAATCTGGCTCTTGCCACCAGGGAAGGCTGACACCAGACACCTGACAGCAATGTTCTTTCCCTTCCACTAAGTGACTTCTATAGTTTACGTGCTGATTTGGGAGAGAAAGACCAAATTATTATTTATGATGGTATTACTCTTTTCTATTTTTATTTTTAGTTCTATGTCTTTGTATGTCTGTGTGTGCTTATGTGCACGAAAGTGGAAGTGACTGCAGAGGCTAGAAGGGGCTGTCAGGTATCCTAGAGGGGCAGCTAGAGATGGTTATGAGATACCATGTAGGTGCTGGGAATCAAACCCTGGTCCTCTGGAAGAGCAGCCAGTGCTCTTAGTCACTGAGTTGTCTCTCCAGCCCCACCAGCTTGTTGCATTTTTGAATCAAGTTTTTTTTATTTTAATTGTGTATATATGTGTGTGCTTGTTCATATAGGTTCAGTGTCCAAAGAGGCCAGAGGGCATTGGATCCCATGGAGCTGGAGTTAACGGGCAGGTGTGAGCTGTCTGATGTGTCATTGAAAACCAAACTCGGGTGCTCTAGTAGAGTGTGAGCCATCTCACTAGCCCTCACCTGGCTTTTGAGCATCCACCTAAGTCTTGGCTTCCAGTCTTTCTGCAACCATGATGGTATAATTCATAAGTCACACACGGTCGTACGAGCCTTTTTACAGGAAAATATTCATTTAGAATCCTGACAGTTTTTTTTGTAACTAGCGCCTGCTGGAAAAATAAGAAAGACAGACAAAGCCCCAACCGAACAACAAGAGACACACAGGCACAGAAGGCGAGAAAGCCAAAACTAGCCCACCATCCCTGGCTATTCAAGTCAAGAAAGAGAAACACTCACCTCCTACCTGTGGTCATTGCTTGGTGAAAAAAAATAGAAGTATTTTTCCTCTCGGTCTTTCTTTTGTGATCATATAAATAACGAGGTGATTGAGTATTCGCTAGGCATGCCCCTGCAGTGAGCCGAGAAGCAAGCATGTTTCCTGTGGGTATAACTCAGCCTTCCCTTTTTTCCTGTCACGGGGGAATGAAGTGATTGATGGCTTTCACATTCCACTTAACCTGCCCCTCCTCCCCCACCTCCTGACTAACTCTCTGAGCTTCCCAGAGCTCTGCTGGAAAATTCAAAGGTCAGTCTCCCTCTGCCTTCAGACTTCCATCCAAAGTAAAGTGTCTGTGGCTGCAATAGTGCTCACATCCGGGTTCTGTCTTGGCAGCAAGTTGACATTTGACACCTGTGTAGAGCTGGTGACAAGGCAGCACTATGACCTCACTTTTGTAATTCCCCCAGCCCCCCCCCCCCCCTCCTGCCAGAACAGCCTCCTTCAGGGCACAGCAAACTAGGTCACAGGTCCTGAGATGGGCATAAACTAAAGTTCCCTACCCCACCCTCCAGGAAATGCCCGTGGGGTAGGGAACTTGAGTTTACTTGAGGCCCTGGCAGGGTGAGGAGAAAAGACCTACCACCTTCTATAACAGAAGGCATTTCCCATATCCTCAGACACATCCTTAGATCCAGATGAGCGCCAGGTCGACCAAGTGGTGCTGACTAGCAACTGTGATGCTTGCTGCCTTCCGGTAAAGCACCCCTCTCCCCCTCCCTCCCCCCACCACTGCAATCTCTTTTCCATAATTTCCTCTGCTCATCACAGGGACAGTCGCGCTACCAAGCTCCTCTAAACAAGCTTCCTGTTACTAATTTTGCTCCAAAAGGCACCAGAGAGATTGACTTATACATCCCCAGGGAAGCCTTGGCTCTGTCTGGGGTCAGGGTGGGGCTGGCTAGATTTCTTTATTAAGGGTGCTGGGAACCCTCTTTTGGGCTTTGAAGCTTCTTCTTTCTTCTTCTTCTTTTTTTTTTTAAAGTCCAAAGGAACAGGAAGTCTCTTTTTATTCCTCCTGGGTTTGCCATTCTCCTGGGGATTGGAACATGTACAATCTGTCAGCCCCCCAAAGCCTGGGGCCAGCACTCTGTTGGGTTGTTCTTACATCCCAGCAGAAATATCTGTGGGCAGAACAGCAGCTGGTCTGCTGTTGCCAACAGCAGGTTCATAGGACCAGGGCCAGCGCCTTCTTCCTTAGAGGCAGCCCCAAGGCGCTGTTTACATTTAGAGATGTTCCAAAAATATTAAGTGGGGGTTTAAAGGCTCTTCTTCAGGGGCTCTGCAACACACTGACCTGGTCACTGGTTCTCAGAATCTGAGCTTACTGGAAGGTTGTCCCCAGAACTCCTGACCCAGTAAGCTGAAGGATGGTGAACGGTTTGAGAACCTGTATTTTTAAGTCCTGAGGTCCGGCACTGACGCTGCTGTTCAGAACTACTCTCAGGAAACCACTGGTCTGGCATATTTCTTTTCTGGCCTGTTGTGGGCTGCAGGGTGTAATACAGACACAGGGTTTATTGCCAGAGAGATGAGGGTCCATAGCTTGTTGCCATTCCTTATTACCCATGTCTCCTAGAGCAAACTATTTAACCCTCTAGGCCCAAGTCCCTCGCTTGATTGATAATCCTTTCTACAGAGATAGTTTTTAGTTTATATCAGGACCCTAAGCATGTTTGGTAATTTGGTGTTTATATAATGCTGACCTCTCTCCCTGTTCAATCCTTTTCTCTCATTGCCATTGAAAGAGTCAACTCAGGGCCTGGCAAGATGGCTTAAGTGTGTAGAAGGGCTCACCACCAAACCTGATGATGGAAGTGCAATATCCGGGACTCCACGGTGGAAGGAGAGGACTGACTCTCTGATCTCCATGTATGTAAATTAACACATGTATCCTCCCCCCATACCATTAACATTTTTTAAAATAAGGTCAATTCACGGGAGAAGGCTGTGCCAGACAACGCTGGGAAAGAAATCAGTCTCGGATCTCTCACTCTGGGCTGCGTGGGTGATTGTGGGCATGGGTGCTGGCTACCGGGACGTCTCAGAACACATGACCACTGTGAGCTGCAAATCTCAGCCTTCCAGTACTTTCTCACAGTCACCCGGACACGGGCTGGCTTTTCTTCAGCCCGTCCAGGGCTTCCTAACTGTCTCCAGACAGAAGGCTGTGGCAGTCATTCTGTCTGCCTCTTGGGCGTTGCCCCCTTTTTCACCTTCCATCAGATAAACTACTGTCCTGTTTCTGCAGATTCTACTCTGTTTTCCATTTCCTTGGGGAAGCTTTGAAATATGTGGCTGGGTCTGGATGCTATGAACACTTACGGAATTCTGCTCTTTATATGATTATAATTTAATTAATATAAGTATCCTTCCCGAATGGCAAGACATGTGAAGGAAATTCCATGTTTAATCTCTTCCCTATACTGGTGTTATTAGACATTTATTGTCATCTAGTATTCTGGAATGGCTCTGTTAATTTTTTTTCTCACCAGAATCTGTTTTTAGGCTCTATTAAATTTTTACTTTGTGTGGGGCCATAGCCAGAGCCCATCCCGCATAAGTGTGGAAGTCATAAGTGTGTAAGGTTAAAATATAGAAGGTGCTGCAAGGGAGCCATCTAAATTAGGATTTCAGAAATTATAACAAAATAACCAAGGCTGCCCTAACTTATAAAAAAGAAATAGAATTCTTTAGATTATAATTTGGGAGCTAAGAGTCCAAATAACAACAGTATTATTTCTGGTAAGGACTTTGTTGTGGGTGACATTGTGGTGGGAATTTGTTGATTACTGTGTGTGAGTGTGGTGTGTCTGGGTGTGTGGTGTGTAAATGTGTAGGGTGTGTGTGTATGTGGTGGTATCTGTGTGTATTGTATGTGTGTGAGAGGGTGTTGTGTATGTGTGCTGTGCTTGTGGGCATTATGGGTATGAATGCATAGTGTATGTATGTTAATGTGATGTGTGTGTGTGTAAATGTGCAGTGTGTGTGTGGGGGTTTCAATACGTGGGATGTATGTGTGTATTGTACGTGTATGCATGTGTAACATAGACGGGATGTTTGTGTATATGTGTTATATATGTGGAGGTTGTGCATGAATGGGAGTTCATGTGAGAAAAAGAGAGAGACAGAGGCAGGGAGAGGAAGTCGGGCACCGACCTACATGGGGACAGTAATGTCCCCCCTACTTATCCCTAGCTCTTAAGGGTTAAGGATCCAATTATGTCTTAATATTGTTGCCCTGTGAGTGAGCTCCTAATACATGCACTGTGGAAGACACATTCAAACCATAGCCAATACACAGTACTATCTTTTGGTCAAAATGCTGGTAAACCAACCCAAATGCTCGAGGAGAGTGGTGGACGGTTCTGGTAGCTGGTATACGGCACTGTTGGTGTAGAGCGGCCTGTGATGTGATTGAAAATTCCAGATTAGTAATTGTGAGAATTAAACATACAATATGAACGACTCGGTTCTTGTTAGTGATGGCAGACTTAAAAGTAAGAAAGCTGGCAAGAACACCAGCCTACCGGAACCTGGTATAAAGCGCACAACAGAAGCTCCTTAGTGGGTTTTGTACAAAGTAGTTTATTGTATCATTCCTGTAGACCCACACAGGTGCCCAAGAAGCTATGTGGTTCTCACCCATCCTCACAGCCCGGCTCACATCACCCACCCTGGTGGACTGTGCGGCTCTGGGAGGACTCCACCTCTCTGCTCAGTAACACAGGCTCAGGAAGGTCCTGCTTTGACCAGTGAGTCTGAATGGAAGTGTAGCTCTCAGATAGGAGTTGGAAGAGCCAGCATGTGACCATTCTTGTTCTTTCTGCTTGTTTCCTCTCAATGATCATATTCCACGACAAACTCACAGACCACTGGGTACTGTGATACAGTGTTTGTTTTCACTGTGCAACTGAATCTGTCATAAGGGCTACGCTTCTACTTCTTCTCTTTCTCCTTCTTCTTCCCTATTCTGTTAATGAAAATAAGAACTAACTGAGGCAGGATTTAAATGCCGGCATGGCTACTCTAGGGTCTATCACTTCTGAAACTCATACTAGCCTTCACCTAAATTAATCAAGTAGAGAAAAAAAGCTATCAGGGCTTGTTGGGATCACACAGGTGAGCCCAGCACTTGGGAGGCAGAAACAGGACTCAGAGTTTGAGGTCAGCCTTGGAAGCTACACAGGTAGCTTAAGGTCAGCTTGGGTTATGTAACATCCTGTCTCAAAAATGGATAGAGGAGCTAGAGAGATGGCTCAGAAGTTAATAATGATTCCTGCTTTGAGGAGGACTTGAGTTTGGTTCCTAGTGTCCACACTGGGTAGCTCACAGCTGTCTGAAACTCCATGCACATTCTCTCTCTCTCTCTCTCTCTCTCTCTCTCTCTCTCTCTTTCTCTCTCTCTCTCTCGCTCATGTGCACCCATGTGTCACAGACACACACTCAAAGAATCATAGACATGAATAAAAATAAAACAAACCTTTCAGAGAAGAAAGACAAGGGATTGGGTGTTTAGCTCAGTGGTAGAGCACTTGCCTAGCAAGCACAACATCCCAGGTTTGGTCCAAACCCAGAAACAAAGAATTCACTGACTCATCTTTAGGATTGCAAATGGGAAATTTGAAGGAGCTATACATTCTGAGCTATTTAAAGAATAATTAAGCAGCACCTTGCAAAATGTTATGCAAATGAACTTGGAAGCTTGATGAGAGAATTATTATTATTATTATTACTATTACTATTGCGAAAGAGTCTTATTTTATAGTCCTGGCTAGTCTAGACCTTACTATGTAGGCCATGCTGAACTTGAGCTCACAGAGATCCACTTGTCACTGTCTCCTAAGTGCTAAGTTGAAAGGGGTATTCCATGTCCTGTGAAGGAAACTAATTTTAAGAAACTGTAAGTTAATAACATTAATCTCAGGAGACAGAAAGATACAAAATAGACCAATCACCCCAGAAAGAGTTGAAGAGACTATTAAAGTCTACCCACCCACTTCTCTGACTCCTGCTAAAAATGTCAGGCTTCATGACTGAATACTTACAAAGTTTTTATTTTGAGAGTTACGTGTGTATGTGTGTGTTGTGTATGTCTGTGTGTGTTGTGTTTGTGTGTGTTGTGTGTGTGGCTGTGTGTGTGCTGTATATGTATATGTTGTGTGTGTATGTGTGTGTGTGTAATTGTGTGTGTGTGTGTGTTTGTGTGTGTGTAACAGAGAAGAGGGAAGCAGCCGCCCTGGGACCAGGCTCCTCAACAGGAGCACTGACAATGCTGATGCTTTAAGAATGGTTTCAGAGGCCTGGGAAAGATAGAAAGACTTTCTGATTGTTTTTTTTTTTTTTTTAAATATTTATTTATTTGTTATGTATACAATATTCTGTCTGTGTGTATGCCTGCAGGCCAGAAGAGGGCACCAGACCCCATTGCAGATGGTTGTGAGCCACCATGTGGTTGCTGGGAATTGAACTCAGGACCTTTGAAAGAGCAGGCTGATTGTTTTTAGAAAGCCAACATAACATTGCAGCAAAATCTTATAAAGAAAACATTGAAAAATGAAAACCAACATCTGATCTCTTTTCAGAAGTAACAAATCCTAAATTATTTAAAAAAAAAATGTAGGGCTGGAGAGATGGCTCAGAGGTGAAGAGCACTGACTGCTCTTCCAGAGGTCCTGAGTTCAATTCCCAGCAACTACATGGTGGCTCACAGCCATCTGTAATGAGATTTGGTGCCCTCTTCTGGACAGCAAGCATACAGACAGACAGAACACTGTATAATAAATAAATAAATAAATCTTTAAAAAAAATACAGCTAAAAAAATGTAAGTCAGAAAAACATGAAAACGTAAAATGTAAAATCTGCTTCTGAAAATCAAGCAGAGCCCTTTCCCAAACACACGCAGGACTGCACACCACCTGAAAGCAGGCCAGAGGTGAAAAGAGTATTCTGTCTCAGAAAGTGACCCAGCAGCATCTGACGTTCATTCTTAGTCAGCTTGTCACAGCTAGTGCCATCTGGGGAGAGGGACACACTGTTGAGAACACACCTCCGTCAGGACTGACCTTAGGGAGGCTGTAGGGCATTTTCTTGGTTAATGATTGATGTGGGAGGCCCAACCCACTGTGGGCGGTGCCACCACTGAGTCTATGGTCATTGGTTGTATAGTTTAAAAACCTGAACGGGAGCCCAGAGAGGAAGCCAGGAAGCCCCACTCCTCCATGGCCTCAGCTTCAGTTCTTGCTTTGAGTTTCTAACCTGAATTCCCTTTACCAAGGACCATTTGCTGTAAGGAGAAACAAACCCTTTCCTCCTCAAGTTGCTTCTAGTCATGGTGTTCATTCCCAGAGTAGAAAGCCAAACAGGACACAACATTTAAAGAAACCCAGCCACTGGTGTCACACAACACAGGTCAACTCTTACTGATGGCTGCTTTCTTTGCCAAAGAACAGTGAAACTTCATTGCAAACTCAGAGTCAGGACTGCCTTAGGGTGAAAACAAAAGAATCTAGAAATCAAGGTTCCCTGGGATCAGCAACGTTCTGCTACACTGTGTGCCAAGCGCAGTCACAGATAGCACAAAAATAGGGCTTAAAAGATACATGTTGTAAGGAAGATCTAAGGGAAATAAATTGGAGAAGTATTAAAATAGCAAGAGATCTTAAATATGTATCAAATTTTACAAATGAGGGACATGCACACAGAGACAGACAGACAGACACCCACAGACAGACACACAGAGACACGCATACATAGAGACACTACAAAATAATAAGCCCTGAATTTGTCCCCCTCATTGAAACATTAGGAAAGAAAATCTGATCAAACTCTTAAAAACAACAGCTCTTTTGTTGTTTTTTTTAAAATTATT